GTTTCAGATTTCCTTCATTTTCAGGCTGGTGTTGTGGATTTGGAGCTAAATGTTGTGCCTGGGGCACGTCGTGTATTAATGATACTCGTTACCTGGAGAGATTGGAAAAAGATATACGTTTCTTCCCTGTTCCAAAACCAAAATCAGACCCTGAAAAGTGTAGGGTTAGCTAGCTAGCTACTGAAGATATAGCCTACTGAATGTATACACATGCTGCTTTTGCTTTGTAATGATTATAACAGTGAAACAAAGAGCGACCCTGCTGTATATTTTATTTATAAGGACAACATTAATCAAATGTTTAAATGTTTCCTAACGACTGATCTGGTCTTAGGCTTTAAATTATGGAACGATCCACAGACAGTGAATTTGGAAAGATGTTCCTGATGACACTGAAACCCCCCCAAGCCAATGTTCTAAGTATATCAGTACATGTTCAGTTTCTGGACTGAAAACACTACAATAGAATTAAGCTCAAAATCAGCCTCTCATTCATCATCTATAGAGCAGCGCCAGACTTTATACTTGATGACATCACCAGTTATAGACTTCCTTCTCTGTTTCCTGGCTGTGAGGGAGAGCAGCTCACAAATATTGACTGAAATTCATGCAACCATGGAATTAACATATTGGAAATCTTAATTTAGATTGTGTTCCCCTTTAACTCGTCATCATTAATGATTACACCAAAAACATCCCAATATATATTGAAGTTCTGCCGGCTGTGTTTTTTAACCTTTATCATTTATTTCCATAGTAAAGAAATTGTGTGACCAGTGTAAAGCTCATTTCAGCTTAAATGTTAGCCACAGATTTATACCCGTGTGTTTTAGGAGGCTTCAGCTGATCCCCGTCAGAAACTGAGGCTGATGACGTTTAATAAGACCAAAACAATGGAGCGATAACAATGAGATTCTATTAAAGTAGATTGTACCGCTGATGTATTGCTGTTGCTACTCTGGTATGTGTACGTGTGTGTCAGTCACTTTATGTGTCGAGATTGAGGAAGCAAATTAAACTTAATTGAATCATCTGCGGGGTGCAGCTCCTGACAGGCGGGATGCTGTAAAAGTTGTTGCTGCAGAGGAAACGACAGCTAAACTTTTGATCTAATGTGAGCAAGTGTTTGGTAAACTGTTACCTGCTGCTGGATGTCAAATAAAATCATCCTTCCAGTTTTTATATTAAATCTAAAACCTCTCCGTGTCTCTGCTGCTGTGTGCTTCCTCTCTAGATCTCAGAGTGCTGAATGCTGAATGCCATTAACACCTTCACTGACATCGACAACGCACGCCATTAAGGAGTCTCACTTCACTTGTTACTTTCCCGTCTCCTTGCAAGAGCTAACGTTGCTGAGAAACTCCACCCGCTCGCCCTTTGACCCCTGCTGCTATGGAGAACCTCAGTGAGCTCCAGAACCCGTTGTTGGACAAAAACAGTAAGCACATGGTCAACGGTTACGGGGGCGACTTCCCTAATAACCAGTACCAGGAGAACATTATTAACTACTTTGCTGGCGGAGGAGGTGGAGGCGAGGGAGGAGGAAAGGTGAATAACGGCAACGTAGTGAGCAATACCAACGGGAAGATGAAATCCCAGCAGCTTTTGGATGCCACCTCGCTGCATCTGGCGGTAGAGGCGTTCTACAGGCCCAACTTCATCCTGTACAAGGAGGATAGCGGCAGCATCAAGGCTAAGGAATACAAAAGCGAGTGCTGTGAGACCACGTTCACAGAGAAGAAGGCCAAGGAGGCGTCCAACACGGTGGGGGCGGACACGCCTGGCACCGAGGATCCCCAGGCGAAGCTGCTGGAAGACGGCGAGCACATTAAGATCCAAACTGTCTCCTATGAAGTTGAGGAGGAGGAGTACGTGGAGTACGAGGTAAGAGAGAAAATGCCTGAGTGGAATAAAGGAGCAAGCTTGCATCTGACAAGAACTGATTTAGTTTTTTGCTGTTAATAGCCAGTTTTCATGATACTCAGTCACATTAGATTGTTTAAAGTATGAAGCCCTTAAAGGAATACTTCACCCCCCAAATGACCATTTGTACATCACTTACTTACCCTGTGTTACATTGAATTTATGAAGAAATATGTGTTTTCCTTGCATGCCTACAGTGAGCGAAGAATCCAAAAAACTGAGAAAATTCTTGATGCATTGAAGTCATAGGGGTCCACATTTAAAAACAGCAAAACTGTATCAAAACATCTATTTACTAACTTTCACACACCTCGTGCAGTAAAACCAAAGTCTCATTTATCCAGTCGTGTGCTCAGTACTTCCTAAACACTCAGCCCTTTCCAATGGAGAAGTAAACCTACCAATGCTCTCTTCAAAGCCAGACTCCACTGACAAAAACAATCATTTTAATTTGCTGAAGATGGGAGGTGCTGGTGTACCGCCACTGCCTCGATTGGTTTGTTTGTGTTATTGTGTGAGTCTGGTGAATCTGAATGAACCATTTAAAACACCAAAGTCACACAATAACACAAATAAACTAACTGATTGGGGCAGCAGTAGACCAGCAGCTCCTGTGTTCAGAGAGGTAAAGTCACTGTTTTTGTCAATGGAGTCTGGCTTTGTAGAGAGTATAGATAAGTTTCACCTCAAGTTCAGTTTTAAATGTTAAGGTTTTAGTAAAAATGCATGTGTTTGGGAAGTACTGAGCATACGACTGGATAAACGAGACTTAAACTGCATGAGTTGTGTGAGAGTACGGAAATGGCTGTTTTGATATAGTTTTGCTGTTGTTAAACGCAGGCAGCTGTGTGAGAACAAAGGTTTTCCTCATGAATTCAATGTTAACACAAGGTGAGTAACTGGTGGTCATTTGGAGGTGAAGTATCGTTTTATGCTTGCTCCATCATCAATGCACAGCAATGCACAGACCATCAAGGACACTACAATTCTCCAGAGATCCACACAGACGAATGTATTTAATTATCTCCTCTAGGCATAAACCTTGAAGGGATCATGTGTTTGGTCATGTGTGTACATGTGTGAGTGTGTGTATGGATGTGTCTGCAGCTAATATTGCAAAGTACTGGTCCCATCAGCCTATATTTGTGTGTGCACGTGTATGACTGTATTCTCAAGGACCTCATCTGGCTGTGGTAATCCATAACTGTTGAAAAAACAGTTTAATTGACTGATTTATACCATCTTTAATTGGCTCAGAAATTGACATCTAGTAAAAGTTTGGTCTTATCTTGAACTGGTGCATCTGCAATATGGGATGAATAAGTCAATTGTTTTTATTATCTTCGCTGCCATTTTGACTGTAAGGGAGCTGGGACAGACAATTGACGCTTTGCTAAGTGCCGCCCCCAGACAGAGACTGGCCAATCATAACACGTTTCAGATTTCCTTCATTTTCAGGCTGGTGTTGTGGATTTGGAGCTAAATGTTGTGCCTGGGGCACGTCGTGTATTAATGATACTCGTTACCTGGAGAGATTGGAAAAAGATATACGTTTCTTCCCTGTTCCAAAACCAAAATCAGACCCTGAAAAGTGTAGGGTTAGCTAGCTAGCTACTGAAGATATAGCCTACTGAATGTATACACATGCTGCTTTTGCTTTGTAATGATTATAACAGTGAAACAAAGAGCGACCCTGCTGTACAGGAACCAGTGAAGGGAAGCAGGGAAACTTTGCTCATATTCAACCAGCTGTGTGTCATCACAGTGTGTGCAGATGAACGTTGTTTGACTTCCCTCAGAGATCCCTGCCCGTCCAACGGTGAAGATACGAGGGCGAAGTCAAACACGGTTCATCTGCACACACTGTGATGCCACACAGCTGGTTGAATATCAGCAAAGTTTCCCTTTATATTCATTGTGTTGTGTGGCGATCAGCAGTGATGTGGTGGTTCACTTTTACACTGTGATCTGTAGCCTATAGCCTTAGTTCTTTTTAACCTGTTGTTGCTGCTGAGTCAGTTTGACATCCTGGATATATCCTTCAAACACACACTGTAGACCCCTCTGTCTGCTGCTCTCTGGAATCACTCTTTCATTTGCCCAAAAATATGATCATATTTCTTCAGGGAGTGCAGTTAGTTACAGTGTGGGCTCCATGCTTACTGCGACAGCTTGTTGGACCACCACAAAGGGGCGGGGTTTAGCAAAAGGTCAGTTCCACCAGGTGCAGCTGCAAGACTTGCAGATTTTTTTGATTTATTAATTTTTCCTTAATATTGTGCTTTTACTATAACTAAGTAAGCAGGCTACATCATCAAATGTTGTTATTTCCAACTTTGTTGCGCTGTAACCTTCAAACAAAGTTAATACTATTAAAAATCCAGTCATCCATCCGTCTTTCACATACAGTGCCCGTTAGCAAGACTCAATCTGCTCTGTGCAACGCGTCATGGCTCCATCAAAAATAGACGAGACGTGTATTTTATTAGCTTCTTAGACGTGCTGCGGCACATCTGCTGACCACTTACCAGATTTGTGGCCAGGTGGCCACAAATCTGGTAAGTGGCCACGATCAGCCACGATCAGCTTGAGCGACCACCTGATGGAGATCTGCACTCCACTTTTCAAGTTTTTAGATTTTAATGCAGGTGAGGGACATTTCTGGGAGAAACTTGTGTGATCTTAGCCATTAATATCAAAGTGATATGTATCTGTGCAGCTCTGATGTGTTTGTGTTAAATGACAGAAAGAGCATGTTTGTCTCCCCCGTGGTATTTGTGCACTTGTATCATCACATGATTGGGCTGGACGCCTGGATCAGACTGACATTTTACTAACCACAAATCCCATTTGATCCACTGACCTTGGCCTCAATTCCCAACTGTAGTAAAATTCCCCGTCAGATAATAATAAATCACCCATGCCGTGCCTCACCCAGGGATATTAGGTGCTACAGCACCAAAGCATTAGCCGCAGTATTTTAAACTGGTGCGGCCAATAGCACAAAGCACTCCAAAGGATTTAGGGGGATTGGACAGGCGGGATAAGGTGTTGAGTTGGACCAGTGTCCTGCAAGACCTAATGGACTGCCTGCCACACACCCTGCCAGTCTGTAAGAATTAACCTGGATTGCTGTGATAAACTTGTAGCTGCTGAAATGCAACGTGACATGGGTGCATATAGCTGGAGGGGCTTTGCAGAGAGACAGTGCCTTTCACACCATGAATAAAAAACACATGGCTCCTCACTAACTTCAGTCAGAGAAAGAGAGAAGAAAAAACACTGATGTGCAGATGCCAGAGAGCAAATAAACCTGCACATTTTCTGATACAGTTCCTTCTGCCGTACTTTTTCCACTAGTAAACGTAGGTGGATGCACAAATACAAACAAAAAAAAGAGTTGGAAGCAATGTAATGCACCAACTGGAGGCTCCTCTTAGCTGTTCAAAGGTTAAGTGAACACATTACCATATTGTTCATATAATTCCACACGCTTCCTGTTCACAAATGAACAGGCGCATAAAAAACAGCATCATCAGGCCGCTCCGACAGCGTCGAGATGCAAAGAGGAAAGTACACAGAGGGACTTATTATGTAGCCTCCCAGCAGTGGACCATTGACACCACAAAGAGCGGGTGTCTCCACCACCCTGCCCACAGTCTGACACAATGCAGAGAGCTCAGACAGGAGAAGCCCCTCCGCTGACAGGCACAGGCTAGTTGGCGTTCTAAATGTTCAGCACTTAAAAAGACACTCCACATGATGTGTTTATTATGTAACCTGAGTCTGAATTGTCCGTTACCAAACAAAGAGCAACCGCTTTTTATTCATTATTTATTTACTGTTGTATTTTTGGAGTTTCTCTCCTAAGTGGTTGTTCCTAATGTTGAGGGCAAAATACAGTTTTGTGGGTTGGATTGGTGATAATATTAATTAGCTTAATGGTACCCTGTGGGGTTTTCTTGTAAACAAACAAAGGTTGTGCATACATACACATTGTGTGTATCCTTGGGCTCTTAAGAAATATTAAGATGTGTTTCGTTAATCATAAAACATTAAGTGGGCTTTTCTCATCAGGGACCTGAGCCTGGATCCAAGTACACTTGACCACAAAGTCCAGTTTGTTTGATTAGCGTGAACATTGTGTACCGTATCAGGGCACATTGCGCCGATCCACTCGAAAAGGTGGTCTCAAGTTTGGTTCATGTGTAATCCAGTATGGTATCCATCAGGTGTGAAAACCAACTGTATCAAAACACAGAAGTGGACCGGATTCAGAATGTTGATCAAAACAGGAATTGTCGGAAATTTCTCCATTGGCACAGCGTTTTCGTGCAGTTTACAAGCTGCTACATCTCTGTTAACAACATTGTCTTCCTGTTTCCAGTGGATCTTCTTCTTCATTTGTTTTTGGACAAGGCAGTGTTGTTCTATTTCACAAGATGTGAAACAGCGCCCCCTACTTTATAACAGTGAAAACACGGATTGTCGGAATATCTCGTCAATGGTGAGGAAGCGTTCTGTCACAACTGATGGAAAATCTTGTCAGTGGTGGAGATAGTGTTAACAAGACTGCAAGGAGGTTTTAACCAGTTATTAAACAATGTAATAAAGACACTTGTATATCAGATGGCAGCTAAGCCTGTCACAGAAAGACCCAGATTTAGCTGTGCTGCCGCCTTCAACCTGCAGTCGGAGGCGGAGCTTTGTCTGGCTGCAGTGTCAGTGTGTGGCGCCTGTGTACTTGGGTACAAAACATTACTAAGGTGAAAGCTGAGTGGCAGTGGAGTGAAGGACAAGCTGGTACTGGCCGTTGGGCAATTCTAGCAGATGCCAGATGGCCCGGCCCACCATGTGAGCTGCAAGATCACCTCATGCAATATTGGAAACAAAATTATAGAGGAATTGTCGGTTCCACTTGATGTTGGAACAGCCCGTCTGATTAGAGGTTACATGGTCCT